TTATTTGTAAATGAATAAAGTACATTGGTGTTTCATGTTTATATTGGTATGTTTTCTGTGTATTACCCCTTAAACTGGACACTTATGAGACACATGTAAGTTCAAAATGTTCTCAGCCATTGGCTAGACTTGGGGAGTTTATCCTGACAAGGTTGACACAGGTGTGCTATCAAATAGTTGGTCAGCTGCTAGGGTTAGACCCAAAGCACAAGCAATGGGTGTTTGGAAAAAAAACAGAACCCAGACCAATTTCCAGTTATGCCCTGGACCTTGGAGATAGATGGGCAAAACTGGAAAGTTACACATAACCCCATACTTGGTTATGATACTGCACCAAGTAGTGGACCGAGTTGCCTTTGATGTGCCAACCAGTGAGATCCATCAAAGGTCAAATATCTGGGCATGTTGGGGCAATTTGGGAAATTACTTGAGTGGGTGATCATAGTGATAGTATCGACCCTTTTGTTGGACAAAGTGAATATCAGAGTTTACACTCTCTCTGATGGAAACCTAAACTGTCGGTAGTGGATTTCACATGTGTTTGAAATCTGGTTTGCAAAATATATTTATATATTATATTATTATTTTATAAAAAATGTTTGCAAAAGGTTTTAATCCTGGGATCCATCTAAGCAAAGAGTGTGACACTACACCTTGCAACCAGGGAAGATGTCCTTCCTTGTCAAACAGTGTTCTAATGATTATGGGCCCAGAGGTTAAGTGTAAGAGACCATTACAAGGCTAACTACCTAATGGGCTTTATCTCACATAACTCCATTATCCTTGGGTTTTCATAGGGTGGCTGAATCCAATTATCATTTAGGTGTAAATGTTGGGCCCAGACTGAGCCCATGCTGGTTGGCTCAGGGGTTCACTGCCCTAAGTAGTGAATTCGGCCCAATCTCTTTTAGAGGTGGGGTTGAACCCTCATGGAGTCGTGTGAGACCTTTGTGGGGTCCCACGGCATACATTATTAGGCCCAAAGTGGCCATGCAACACTAGGGGACGTGAGCCTTTAAGAGAAATGGTCCTAAGGCCCACTACTAATATGATTAGCTAAGTTGTCACATGACAACTGATTTGGGCCAAAAACTTGGTTTGGATCTAGGTATGGAGCATCTATCCTCTCAAGAGTACAATGTTTATCAAAAGAAAGGTTCTAATCCAAATCAGATTTGGATCACCTCCTAATCTAATTAGGAGTTTTGCTCCATAAAGAGATAAAGAGAGAAAAGGGCGAACTAGACTAGATCTCTCTTCATTCTTGTTCTCTCTTGTTCTCTCGTCTCTCAAGAAACCCATCACAACCTAGCCTTTTCAAGACTAGATCTCTCTTCATTCTTGTTCTCTCTTGTTCTCTCTTGTTCTCTCGTCTCTCAAGAAACCCATCACAACCTAGCCTTTTCAAGAACTAGTTTCTATCAGTTTTCTTCTATGTTTTTGCAAGAAAAACATTGAAGAAACCAAGGCTCACTCATCCCACTCGATCCAAGCTAGTTGGATAGCAAATTTGCTGAAATCAGAGATGCTAAATTGGTTTCTCTCGTACACTACGCCATCTTCAGTTGGAGGCCGATTTTGGAACTGATATTGGGTGTGAACTTCCACCTTGGGAGCTGCAATTTGTGGTCTCCGTATCAGGTATAATTCCCTTTCAATTTGGTTTCAAATCTGGTCCAGTTTAGTGCAAGATCAATCCTGAAAATTCAGATTTCAAATTTATCGGGAAGTTAGTTCTCGAAAAGCGAAAAGGGTTAGAAAATTTTTTGAAATTTTGCCCTGCCATCTAGCATGGTTCGGCCATCCATATGATGGATTCTAAACCCTTCCAACATTCCAACCACATGTTTTCAAATCTGAAAGGGGTTAGTCCTCCTACAAGCCTCTCCTACCCTAAACTTATAGGGCAATGGTCTAAAGTTATTGTAGGCAGAGCTTTTGAAACTAAGCCTTCCCACATCTCTTCTCAATCCACTGTGAATAAACATTTATCCAGTTTTGAGCAAACTGAATTATTTTGAAAATTGAACCAAGTGTAGTGTGCATGCAAGAAAGGTAATCCTTTCAGTTCCAAAGCCTCCACCAAGTTAACGAACTTCCTCATACTTGTGGTTATTCCAAGGCCCGGATTATTTGACTCATTTGAGAATCTAATAATATTAAAATCACCCCCTAAACAGCATGAACTCTCCCAAAGACCCATAATATCACTCAGCTCTTCCCAAAAAGAATTCCTTTCCCTATAGGTGTTTGGACAATAAACATTTGTCAAAGCCCAAAGTTTATTGTCCTTTTGTCTCTTAATTTTTATTGAGACTGAAAACTACCCAATTAACCCCTCTATACAGTCCACCTCATTTCTCCACATTGTCAAAATTCCTCTTGACACCCCCCAGGAAAGGGCATAAACCCAACTTACACTTCTCTCCCCCAAATACTTCTTATCCATCTTCTATCCACTTCTTGCAATTTTGCTTCTTGGAGAATAACCACATCCGCGTTCTCTTTTATTAGAAGGCTTCTAATTACATTCCTCTTTTGGGCCCATCTGGTATTGGAGGGGTGTTTAGGGATAGTGAAGGCAAAATCATTGGTCTATATTCAGGCCCAATTGGAGTACGTGACTCCCTAAGGGCTGAGGTTATAACTGTCATGGGAGCCTAGGAAGAAAAGAAGAGTCACTTAGTAAGGTGGGAGGTAGTATGCAGATGTAAAGAAGAGGGAGGGTTGGGATTAGGGAACATGGTTCTAGAGAATGTGGCTTTATTAGGTACGTGGTTGTGAAGTTGTCCCTTGGAGAGAGAAAGGTTATGGTGTGAGGTGATAGCTAGTATTCATGGCTGCTCAAAGAATGGTTGAGATGTTGGTGTATCTCGTTGGACTACTTTGACCACTCCTTGGAAAGCGATTCACAATATCCTTCCGAATTTCTTAACTTTGTCAAGTATTATTCTTGCTCTGGCAACTCTATTTTGTTTTGGGAAGGTATTTGGGTGGGTGCCTTAGCCCTCAAAGACCTCTTTCCTTCACTCCATTCCATTTCCGTGTTTACGCATAAGGTTGTCTCCCTTTTTCTCCCCTCCCCCTTTTCCCCTTTGTCCTTGACTTGGAACATTGGTTTCTGTAGGGGTTTAAGGGATGCTGAACTTGGTACTGTTACAGAACTCCTTGGTGTCCTAGATGGGGTATATTTGGATCCTCTAAAGCCAGACAAAAGAATTTGGTCTCCCCACCCTAAAGGTTCCTTCACTTGTGCTTCCTTCTTCAAGGCCCTTTGTGCTACCTCCTCCCAACTTGTTTGTCCAGTTAAGGAGCTTTGGACTAGGCCTATTCCCCCCTAAAATCACTTTGTTCTGTTGGGAAGTGTTCCATGGGAAGATCAATAATTTGGACTGTTTGCAGAAGAAAAAAAAAAAACATTTCTTGTGTTTGTCCCCTAATTAGTGTATTCTTTACAAGGCAAATGGTGAGGATTGCTTCCACTTACTAATTTCCTACACTTCCACTATAACTATTTGGGTTTAGATTTTTTCTTTGTTTGGAAGTAGGTGGAACCAACCTACAGATATAGGCCTACTGTTTGATCCATCAACTTTTGCATGGCCCAACAAAAGAGGGAGAATTATGTGGAAATATATTAGAGCAGCGGAACTTTGGAGAATTTGGGAAGAAAGGAATGCAAGAATTTTCCAAGAAAAGGAACGAAGTCCTTTACTTATCAGGGAGTGTATCCTAACAAGGGCAATCCACTAGCCGAAAACTTTAGATTCTTTCCATTTGTTTTCCTTTGACAACATTTGGAGGAATTGGTTAGGAGTGGCAAATAGCTTCTCTAGGAAGGAAAAGATCATTGCCTCTTGGACCCCACCACCTGACGGTTGGGTAAAGTTGAATTTTGATGGAAGCAGTCAAAGAAACCCTAGCCCCTCAGCCATAGGAGGAGTATTGAGAGATAAAGGCAGCAAAATCTTAGCTTTATACTCTGGTCCAGTGAGAGTAGGAGACTTGGTCAGAGCTGAACTATTGGTGGCTCTACAGGGTATTCAGATTGCAAACCATTTAAGAGTTAAGCATCTTCTAATTGAAGGAGATTCTAAGATTGTTGTGGGCTGGTTAGCAGATCCGGAATCAGTCATTTGGTGCTACAAGGATTACCTAAAAAAGGCAAGCTGGTTAACAAATAATATGTCTGTTAGCTCACTTTGGGTGAGAAGGTCAGCAAATGCTTTGGCCAATCATCTTGCTAAACAAGGGGTATTGAGGGAACATCTGTATTGGGCAACATTGTAATGTCTTTGGCGTAGTTTATACACTCAATCTCAAGGGAGGTTGCACCTCATGCCACTCCTTGGGGTTCTTGTAACATTTCTGAGATATCATTAATAAATCATTTCTTTATTCAAAAAAAATCAATCTTTTATATTTTTTTTTATTCATAAACTCCAAGATATATAAAGACTTCCAAGGGGCAAAATTTTAAAAACTTAACACAGTTGTATGGGAGAGATGGACATACAAACAGACAGAGTGTTTTGACTGGTGCCTTATTCATTTTGTGTCTTAAAAGAAAAATGACTGAAACAAATATTTATAAAGAATAGATTCATCACCATATTTTAGCAAACCCTCATAGTGAAATAACCCAAAATATCAGGAAGCAGATAGCACTACTAAGGATGAATCCATTAGCCATTTTTACAAAATCCAAGTCATAGTAGTGATTAATTTTGAACAGAAAAAAAAAATCAAAAGTAATCAAAGTCAAATAAACACCAAGTAAAGCCATCCCAAGTCATCTGGAACTGATTGTTACCCAAGCATAAGGAGTCAATATCTAGAAGGAAAAAACAATTGTCCTAGGTGAAGGCAAATTCTTCTTTGCTTTTTAAAATGCTATGCAATGTATTATCATGATCAAATGTATCACAAGAAAGATAAAGAAGAAGTGTAATGCCATGAACAAAATAAAGATTGGGAATTGCTATTATTTGATAGTCTACCTCATATGTGAAGGGACCTTCTATTGCATCCAGATCATGAGTCCCAATAGCAACTAGGGTTCTCCGCCTAAAACAAGATTTTGAAGTAAGCATTTCCGTTCAAACATTTACATAACAACAAAACTGGTGAAGATATCGAAACTCCAGCAATACAAGAAAAATTGATGGCACAAATAAAACAATTATGAATCATGCAAGTAAGAAATCATCAAAGTGTCTAATATGTGCAAAAACCACATACTTCAATAGATGCAATTATCCACCATAGGATCTTCCCACCACAACAAGGAGCGGGAAACATTGTTACCCATGGAGGAACAGGGACAAGCCCAAAGAATCAAGATTAGTATCTCCAATTACATCCTCCCATCGCTCTCTCATAAATCATGACAAGACTGCAAAGAAATTATGAGTTTTCAATTTAAGATCCATCTCCTCAGACCATCCTCCCATGTAATAACTAATAAGAAAAAAAAATGACACATCCAAGCATAAAGAAGTGCAATTAACAAGCTCATTATCAAATAGATCCATCATATAGATGGGATGCTAAGATATCACCTCACTCTTCTAGTAAAATATCATAGTTCATGGTAATACTCATCCCCAACATCAAACTGCAAAAGCACAATGTTGTTCACAAATAGGGTGATCATTTCTAGCCCAGCCCGGCTTTTAGAAGCATTTCACCCACCCATAGGTTCTTTCCAAAAATGTACTTTATTCCCCAAATTAACATCCTACCAGACATGGTTTAGGAACTACAGAAGGACAGCATGAATTGCTTTCCAAATGGAAGCCAAAGTAGCCCGAGGAGATACAACAACATCCTAGCCACTTTCCATCAAGCCATGTATGCTTGCTACTACCCAGTGCAAAAGTCTCTCTTCTCAATCGGCAACCTTCACAGCCATTTCTCTAACAAAACTAAATTCTTAGACACCACATTCCCTACTCTGAGGCCTCCTTGATTCTTACTCCCACAAACTACCTCCCACTTTACCAAATGATCTTTTTTACCCTCCCCTAGCTCCCAAAGAAAGCCTTTCATCATTTTCTTAAATTTATTTTCAACTTCTTGATACCCTAAACACAGAAAGGTAATAGAAAGGGAGGTTTGCCAAAGTGGACTTGATCAATGTTATTCTTCCACCCAAGGAGATGTAATGACGTTTCCAAGCTGCTAATCCTTTTCCAAACAAGAAAGGAGTTCAGAAATGACAACTACTTGGATTGCCACCTAAAGGTAGACCTAGATACTTTTTTTATCAATAACAACATTTCATTACTTAATCACAAAAGTAATTATAGAGAGGAAGATAAACTTTCTTATCTTCCAAATGGATCTTAACACTCCCAAGAACAAAATGGAAAAATTACACTTGTGCCCAAAACATTGACTCCCTCTCGACTCCTTGCTTAGCTAACTCATCTGCAAAGGAGTTAGCTGATCTTTCCACCCAGATAACCTAGGTACTTCATCGACTAAGCATTAATCGAGCACCCAAGAACATCAGCTACTATTCCTAATTCATTCTCCTCCAAATTTACCATTGATACACAACTCTCCTCGAGATTAATCTTCAAATTTGATTAATTTGATAACATTTCAAACACCCCCATCAGCAATCTCAAACTCCTCATCTTTTGTAGATCACTACCATCATTGAAAATGATTATATCATCTACAAACTGAAGGTGAGTGGTTACCATGATGTTTCTACCAACTCCCCTTTGCTCAATTATTCCCTCACAAAGTTTCATAGTGTAGCTCATGAGTCTAATCCTGCAATAGTTATTACAACTTTGTATATCACATTTGTTCTTAAATACAAGCACCATGCTACTCTTTCTCCATTCATCAGGCATCTTCTTTTTTTCGTTATCTTATTAAATAGTTTAATTAGACATAACAAGCCAACTTCTCTCATACCTTTCTAAGCATTTATTGGAATACCATCTGTGAGTGGTGTGGTAAGGCTAAGTGTGGTGGTCTCCTTGAAGGACAAAGGAAGGCTAGGAGCAAGGGTAGGCTACGAGCTTCTATTGACAGAGTCGTGTCTTCGTTATGATTCACACCTCCTTTTACAGGGAGAGATCCCAAGGCCCTGAGGGTAAGGAGCCAAAAGGATTTGATTCCTATTTGGAAAAGAAATCTTTGATTCAGTGTCAATTGTCGGGGGGACACTGCTAAGGGTTCGCCATGTGTCATATGAGATCTCTCCAGGATGAAGTTTCCTTTCGTCTGAGGATTCTCATAATACATGTATGCTACTTCCTTTTGTGGGTCTCCTAAACTGACGTGGTGTGGGTGGCGTCAAGGTCAGTCTAACGTGTCCTACTTAATCCTACTAGATGTCTTGTCACAAGCGATTTTGGCTAACCGTTGTATTTTCGTTCATCGCCAGTCCGTGATGGCTTTGAGCTCATCACCAGTCCATGATGGCTTTGAGCTCATCACAAGTTTGTGGTGCCCTTGAGCTCGTCGTAGGTCTGCTGTGGCTTTGAGCTCATCGTAGATCTGTGGTGGCTTTTGAGCTCATCGCAAGTTCGTTCCGAGTTGTGAACTCATCACAGGTGTTTCCGTAACTTTGGTTTGGTACCTTCATTGTCATCGCAGTCATGGTGAACAACATGTACTTACACCATCAAGTAATCAAAACTTATGTACTTAACATATTATAAAGAATATTTTGTATTTTCTTTTCTCAACATGTTACAGTCTTAAAATGTTAAAGTATGTCTACTTGACCAATACGCAAAAGCCCTAAGACTAATGGAACGCATTAAGCCAAAGCAGTTTAACATTTTAGGGCCATAACATACCACCACGCTTCCATAGTCAACATCTCGGCAGCTCTCAAACTAGTGGCAGGTAGCCCTCTCCACGACAGCTCACAATCTGGCAACAGATAGCCCTTTTCATGGTAGATTTCACTCTGCTCCAGGTAGCGCTCACCGTGATTCAAACTTGAGAAATGGTGGTAGGCTCTAATACCAAGGTTCAAAGTGTCGACACGTACTGTATCGGGAGTGTAGAGAGCACTGATGTGGGCCCCACAACTACGGTCCCACTGTGTTCGTAGGGTAGAAGATGCTCTAGTCTGCCTAGGGCTAGCTATTGGTCATTTTTTTGTTTCAGTTGTTATTTATTTCAGTCTTATTTTTGCTCTATTTGTTATGTAAAGACTAAGGGCAGATCTGTCCTTTCATGTAATGAGCATAACCTATAAATATTAATTAAAGTGGCGGCGGCAGAACATTAAGCTTCTGTTCCTCCTTTCAACTCTTGTGTTCTACTGCTTCTCCTCCCTCTTCCTCTTCTTTCCTCTTACCTTTCTTCTTATTTTCGATCCTGAAATCCATTAGGGTTCAAGACTGATAACAGTCCTGAACTTCTACTAGGAGCTTCCCAATATGCCCCTACAGTGGGTGTTTCAGGTCAGACCATGGTTCAGGGGGTAAACGGGCCTTAAATCGACCCCTTTGAAACATATAGAAAAAAAAAAACTAAACAAAAAAAAGAGAAATGAGCCTCGATACAGGCCGGCGTATCAATACCAAATGTTGTGTGCTTGACCAATACACCAAAAGCCTTAAGATTGTGGAATGTGCCAAGCCAAGCACTTTAACATTTTAAGATTGTAACACAATAAGTTCTTGATTGCTTGTGACACAACTTAATAGTTGAAACCTGGATGACTAGAAAGGCCCACCACCTTTGCTTGATGGAAATTCTACACCTTTTTTTATCATCAAATAAGACTTTTATTAAACTCAGAAATATATTGAATTACATGAGTTTGGTTTCAGCATTGCATTGACCCAAGCTATAAACAGTTACAGTTCTGCCCAGAACAAGGTAGATCTATTTGCCCTCTGTTTTGCTAGGGTATTCACCAAACCATTTGCAGTCCTTTTTACCCAACCAAATTGAGAGTTGAACCTCCTTGCAAGTATGTCAATTT